TCTTTCCCTTGTAATTTGAACGTGCTTGAAGTGCCTGTTCTTGATTGTGCTTTCTCTCATTAATCCTGAGTTCATGTGCTTCAAGGGAATGTTGCAACTCCTCAATTTCCATAAAATCCAAGTCTTTTGATGATTCTTCAATCGCAACTACCACATGATCAAATCTTGGAGGTAATGTCCTCAAGATTTTATCCATTACGTGTTGATCGATGATACTATCCTTGCAGGCCTTTATGGCATTGATATGTTCTTGTACCTTGTCAAAATAATCTACAATTGTCTCATTTTCCTCCATACCGAGAAATTCGAATTGTCTTCTTAAGGTTTGCAATTTCACTTTCTAGTTTTTATCACCATCACCATATGTCTTTTCCAAGATATCTCATGCTCCCTTTGAGGTGGATGCCTTAGAGATACAAATATTTTCTACACTCACTATGGTGCATGTTCCTAAGTTATACATAGAACTCCTTAGTCTACAGAGATAAATACCATATTGTACATTTGACTATGTATGCTCTGTCTCTGGTTTCATTGCTTCATGGGCTTGCTATCACTCTTCGTCAACCTTTCCAGGTTTGAAGTCATGACATATATATAGTCTTGTAAAATTTTCCCGTTGCAAGTGTCCGTTGAAGTAGAATATAGTCGTTCATGACTAGTTCGATCTTTCATTTAATGCAGAAGATCTTGCATTAAATGTTGCTTCCTGTTTATAGACATTGCATGAAGTCTTCTTTGTTTTGTTAGCAGTAGTGTCTGACTTTAGCTGAGACCTAGGAATTTTTTGTCCTTTTCCAGTCCTCGTAGTTTCAAAAGCGTTGTTTTTATATGAAAAAGTAATGTACTTTTTCTGACACATGCATGCTTTAACTTCTGTGCTTTCATTTCTTGTTTTTCTTTTCTTCCTTTAATCACGCGATCATGTTGAGAGTCTTTGTATGATCATAGACGATGCCTGAGTTGTCTCTTGAGACTTGATTCTTCAAATGCTTTCATGGCAGTTTTCGTCTGCGTCTGGTAGTCCATGTACATCTCAAGACTTGATCTTCATCTGAGCATTAGTCATTAATGCTTTGACTTTCTTTGGTCTAGTCAACATTGTAGATGGACAAACTTTGTTTCCATCTGGAATGCTTTTTAGTCTGTACTTTCCTTCGTTTGATGTGTAGTTGACTTTCTTCTGATTCTTGACCAGCCTTCGTCTGATGCTTGAAGCTTTTACCCTTTATCTTGGTTCTGGTATAGGAAGTGGCACATGCCCATGCTCTATTCTTCAACTTGCCTGTACTTATATTTTTTTTGAAATACTAACACAATTGTTAGAAATAACAACATATATTATATTTGTCTAATTCAAAACCTTGCTGGGAATTGTTTTGTCTTAGTTAGCAAATAGAAGTATAGTCTTTTGTAAAAAATAAAAAAAATAAAAAAAAGGTTCATATATGTCTACAACACAAAGCAAAACTAGTATAAGATTTGTACTAAGGTTATCATACTATAATTTATAATTTATTTAATTGAATATCGTATTTTATCTAATAAATTTTTTTAATGGATTATTTTGAGTGTCTCTTACAAATGATTCAAATCACATGTCTTTTTATTGTGTCTCAATTGGTGTTTCACCAATAAAAAATTGACATGTCATTTAAAATATTGATTTGTATTTTTATCCTTTTTATGTTACTCTATTTGTCCTTATTTTTATTTCAGATTATATAGGGAGAATTTCTTTTATGTTAAAATACATCAATTTTGTGAAAACCTTCTTTGACTTGATTTCAAGCCATTGTTGATCTTTTTGTTAATATTGTCGAGAATAATTTAGGTAGATTGAATTAATTAACAATTAAAAAAATTACTATTCTTGTCAATTGTTCATATAAATATTACATGTTTTTGTTTTTCTTGATAAAATTTTGTTTAGCCACTTTATTCATTTGTGTTGCCGAGTTTTTGTTTATAAACACATTTACTACTTGCCATGATTATGGGACAAGTGATTAGTATATTTGTAATTAGTTGTGAAAAGATAGAAAATAATTAGGATGCAATTGGATTAATTTGTGTAAACAAAAAATAGTTAAGTTAAAACTTGGAATCTTGCCAAACAAAAAATATGTTCATGGAGAGTTAATTGTATGTAGAAAGGGGGCACTATTTCCTGCAAGATTAATTCAAACTAGAGTAATGTAATTATTTACATTCCTTTTTTTTTTTCTCTCTTAATCTATATATGGATAAAAATAAAGACAATTAAAGTAATGTAAAAAAAAGATAAAAATGCAAATAAATATTTTTAATAACATGTCAATTTTTAGTGGTGGGATATCAATTAGGACACAATGAGAAGACAACTGATTTGAATCATTCTTCCAAATACCCGCCTTCTATTAAAGGTGTTTCAATTTTATTGAAGAGTTGTCAACTAAATCAAAGTCACAAGAAAAAGTTGAATTTTGACCCTTAACTACTTAGGTTTTCCTTGAACTAAAAGTCGTCTTGATGTTGTTTGCTCAATGTTACTTGAATTTAAGAAGTTTGTAAAGAGTAAAATGATGATATTTTCAAACTAGAATAATCTTAAGAAGCTTAAATAAATAATGCTCTAGTATTCACATGTATTAATAATAAAGATGCAGAAACTAAAAAGTGAGGGAGAAAAGATATTGCCCATAGGATTTTTTATATTAGTTTATGTAACATCATATTTTTGGTTCTATAAGTTTATGTGTTGTAGAGTTTAATGAGTATATGGTTATGGTTATGGTTATTTTAAGAATATATATATATATATATATATATCATAAGTATATTTAATGAGAGTATGTTTTATTAATGAGAGTTGAGAGGTATAAATAATAATCATAAGATTATAGCTAAAAACAAATAATAATTTATAATAAAATTTTATTATAGACATCTCAAATTTGATATAGTTATTATTGTGGTTTCCATGATTATTACCATATATAATTAATGTGATCATCACTATTGTCGTTGTTGTCACTACCATAACTTTCATCATAATGGTAATAACGATGATAATGAAAATGGTGGTAAAGATAATAATAGTAGTAGTAGTGTGACAATAATGTTATCATTACCATTACTTCTACTACTATTGTTGTCATTTTTATCATTGTCAATATTGTCATTGTTATTTTTATCATCATTATTGTCATCGCCATTACTTTATTTTCGTCATCATTATCGTCAGTACCACGTAATGACAACAACAACAATGATGATAATAATAGTATTTGTAGAGAAGATAATAATAATTTCTAAAAAAATGTTGGAAATTATCAACAACTACATGCAATGGTGTTAATCCCTTATCCAATGTGAGTGGCTTGTTTGTATATATACGGGTTTAAGTGCAAAGCTAAATTATGCATAGATTTATGAGTTATATGGTTTTTTAAAAGTTTTTTTCTTCTACCTTTTATTATACAGAACTACAAATCTCACTCCCCCTTTCACTTTTGTTTGTTGCTCTTTATGGTCATAAACAGTGAAGGACAAGAAGAACCATTGAAAGGACAACCTGGAGGATCATGTGGATGTTTGGCCTAGTTGTGGAGGCCTTTTCCCTTTATTTATTGTTTTTGTGTATTTATGTTATGCTTTATGTGCAATTGTTTGTTCGTGAATTTCCATTTCAGTTTGTATGTTATGTATGCCCATGTATAAAAACAACTTATCGGGTACTTGATTACTTGGATAATTATTTCTTTTGCGATCAATATATAAATGATCTTATCTGATTTTAGTTCCACTCGTCTATCATAGTACTAGTAAACTTCATTATTTTGTAAAGTGGAACCTAATTTCTTTTAAATTGCGAAAAGTTCTCATATTTTTCCGTATCAAAACCTAATAACCTCTTCATCTTACTTGAAACATTGAAGGGTTTAGCTTAAATTCCTTCCTTGGTGAGGACTATCGTCTTGGCACTACAACTTACCGTCAAATTGGTTGGATTACATTTAATTCTTACCACTAGAAAATTTTATTATTGCAATTACGCCAAATTATATAATGTAGGGACAAATATACTTTT